GTTCCTGGCCTACTGCAAACTGGTTTCATCCTATCTCTGTGGGGAAGAAAATAGGAGAGCGAAGTGTTTTTCCTTAGTTCTTTCAGAACATTTTAAATTGAATGAAGTGGCACTAATGTTACTTCTATTTTCATTCATATATTTTTTTCTCCAGTAGACTGATTGAAATGAAGTGACAGAAAAAATTAGACATTTGAACTCTACTTCATGTTCCAATTTCAAATGTCATCTGATCTTTCTTGGGAAAAACTACCCCTTATTCTGAGATTAAGTCCACTTCTTTTTTCCCCCCATTTCTTAATATATTAATTTTCTCTTAATATATCCTATTACAAGAATTTTTTTATGAAATGACAGTGTTAGTTTTTTTTTAAAGTTCTTAGCTGGCAACTTTATGTTGGTCTCCTTTAAAACTTTTTCTTGGTCTGTGAAGTTCTATAAATTGCTATTGTAGATTAAGTGGGTACAAAAATTTTGAAAGTGATAAAAAGTGAAAGCAGTGGATCCTATCTCTAGGATAACATGCTTTGTAGACTCCTTGAAAATTTTTTTATGGAGCCCGATTATGAAACTGCCCTGCTGATATTGATTCAATTTTGATAGTCTTTTGAACCAGTCATTCACATAACAGATATTTGAATGCTTGTCTTATACCAGGTGTTGGGGCTATAGTGATGTTGGACATAGTCAAAGTTCTTAAAGATCTCACAATCATGTGAAAAATACAGACAAATAATTATGATTTAGTGAGAAAGATGCTGCTGTAAGGTACTATAGAGGTGACATTGGCAAGATAGATTTCAGTCAAGTGGTAGAGATGGAGGGCAAGATGGAAGTGCATAAAGAAGTGAGTGGTAAATGAGGCAGTAAAGGTGGGTGATAGCTAGGAAGGATGGGAGGAGAGAGAATATCTAGAGGTGAGTGCAGAAAACTGGGAGAGTGGTTTGATTATTTCCAAGAGACCCGAGAATGATTATATCCCATGAGGAATCAGTCCCCAAGAAATGAAAGGTTGAAGATACAGGAGAAATAGTGTAAATTGTTGTCAGGTTGACTTTAAAATGGAAAGTGGTTAGATCTCCAGCATAGATTGAGAAATTAGCTATAGAAACAAAAGAGATCTATTCCACACAATAGGAAAAAGCACAGTGCTGATTCAGACAAATTGGGAATGCATTCATCTTTAAGTGGAAATGTTAAGGTACTTTGCTGAGCATGGTGGCGTACATGGTAGAGTAGGGGCTTGGAAGAGCCATACTGGGAAATGGGAGAGGCATGAGACTAAGGAACACATATGAGGAGTGTTAGACAGTAGGGAAATTCCTGTTGAGGTTGAACGTGATGAATTTTATGGTATGTGGACAGAAATATGGGTAGATGGGTTAATCCAGAATGAAATCTGAGTTGTAAAGGGAAAGAAATAAAGGTTTTGGGAAGGGGGTTGCTAATAGAAAATGAAAGAGGGGAGGGATTTGAGGTCTCAGTGTAAGGAGACAGGGATGTGAGGGGTAGTGATTCAGAGAGTAGAAGGCAGAATTAGAGTCTTTGGATCAACTTTCTTTTCAATAAAGTAATTATGTGCCTTGATGAGAATGCGGTAGTTTTAGGCATAACTATTGTACTATTGGTCATTTCCTCTTTCATTTCCTTGTGGAACATGATGAAGTAAGATGTTTGTCTTTTGATTCATTAAATAATCAAAATAGATAGTTCCTGTTTTTGAGCTAAGTGGAATGTCTTAGGCTTTTTAAGTCTCTTCAGAGTTTTGGCTGTAATGCCATTCATTTACTGAGCAAGTTATAGGTAGAGGTGAGCTCTTGACAGAAAATTTTAACTGTTTCTTCAAAATTTTTTGTACTTAATTAAATAACATTTTATATTTACTTTAATAAATGTCTTGTAAACATTAGGTTAGAAAAGTTCGGTGTATTTAGCAGTCTTATGGTTATGAAGCTGTATGACAAACATTGAAGGTTTTTGACCTTTTTTCCCCCACAGATTGAAAAATTGAACAATATTAGAAAAATGAGTATTTTGGAATGCTGGAATCTAGGAAGCAAAAAGAGGCCTCAATAAATTGATTATACATAAAAATATATAATGGGCTTTAGTTTATTTTTCAGAGAGAAACAGAGTTGAAAATGCCCTTGATTCATTCCTTTGGTATTAAATTATGCATTTAATCTTGGAGAACTCTGAGTGATGCCATAAAATATGCTGATGTGACCTGCTTAAGGAAAAGTGCATGGGAAAGTGGCCATTTGGAATAGATTTGTTAAGAAAAGTTTGAAATTCCTGGACTTAAACTAATTTGTTTTCCATGGATCCCATGAGGATACTTGCAAAACCAGATGATAGGATACAGTTGGATCCTGTGAATGGCACTAGTTTACAGTTATGTTTTCTGGATCTCTTCCATATGTGCTGATTTCTTTGTATTTGACCATGTATGGATATACAGAATTTCATAGGCCAGAGTATAAAAGATTTATAAACAGACTTTAAAGTATATAAAATACAAATCTTAACTTTTCTTATCAAGTCAATAAGTAAGTTGCTGAA